TTGACTTTCAACAACAACTAGACTATAACAGGTTCTTCTTGACAAACTTAATAAATTGGATCAGTATACCCAGAATATAATATTATATGTATACAATTAAGCTTGAGCTATCCCTCTAGAGCAATTGGTTAAATGCCCCGACTTTATTGATAAGATTCAGCTAGCATGATAAAGGTGATTATACTATCTATACAATAAAGCTTGAGTTGTCCTTCGAGAGCAATTGGTTAAATTCCCCGGCTTTTTGGATAGGATTCAGCTAGCCAGACAATGACAAATCAAATCAAACTTATTTAAATAAGGAGTTTCGGTAAAAAGGGACTAAGGCAGTTAAGGAACACCTGTTATAGTCAATTCCACACGAGCACTCAGGAATTTTATTTTTAGACCGATATTTCTGCACTGCCTTTGTTAGAGGAGCCTACGAAGCTTGAACAAATGAAAGATTTCAGAGAACCGAAATAAAAGGTATAGTAATTGATTGTGCTAGTTACGTCATCTTATCCGCATCCGATTAAAATGCCATGCAGAGAAAGAGGGGTATGTTACGATGTTCAAAAAAGAAATGACATTTTGGTGGCCGAACCCTTAGAAATTAGGAAGCCAACCTGAAGCCAACTTATCAATTTGGATATTTGTCAAAGAGCTATAACTTTGAAAGCAGTAAAGAGCTATTGATTCTTTTGATTTTCTGTGAACTCATGTTTATGATTTGATTCGATTGTGAGCCTGATTTAAGAGGTAATGTTTTACAAAATTCTTATATTCTCATATCCTTTTTCCCTCCTAAAATAAAAGAAAGGAGAAAAACATTTTCAAACAGGACAGTTTCAAATGTGAAAGGTCCTTGAAGCTGTTGAGGCTCATTTTGCCCCTATTGAAGAAAGAACAAACAATGACAAATTTCGAGCATTTCACATTCTTGGAAGCAATCAGTCCGAGTGATCAGATAGAACTTGTAACACTCCCTTGTGACATTTTCAGCAACCCAAGAAGAAAATGGGGCATGATCGATTCCAAGGACCAGATCGGCAGACAAAGCACGAGACTCCATCCAGGAGATAAAACAGAACTAATTCATGTTGCATACATCTTAGACATACTTAAGAGCATCACATTTACCCTTTTTAGCATACAACATACATAATTTTTTCAGTTTTTAGAGTCAAGTTTCAACTTCAAGAAGAAAGATACTCGACTCAAAAGCACCTTTAAAAAAATCGATGGTGGTTGCTTAACTCAGTGGCAAGGAACTACACCTCAACCAACTTGACATTTTGAAAGATCTTATAATCAACTTCAGACGGGTTAGAAAGCCCAATTCAGAACGGATTCAGTTCAACTTAACTCAACGACGAGTGGCTAGTTCTAGTTAATGTTATCAAACCGGATTTCAACTCCACGACGGATGATATCTGGCTGATAGAATTTACCACTTGGCTTTCGCGTGAAGGGGAGTCATCCAAAGAATTATGATCGGTTTAGACCCGCGAAGGGAGGTCATCTTTCATTTAGAGGAAATTTACACCACAACTTAAGTCGATAAAAACTCTGTGTCAACAAACACCTCTCCAATTTCATTCAGAGTCAATTTCAACTTCACAGCGAAAGATATTGAACTCGAAAGCAATGCAATTTTGGATTTCAACTCATTTAGAGGAAATTTACACCACAACTTAAGTCGATAAAAACTGTGTGTCAACAAACACCTCTCCAATTTCATTCAGAGTCAATTTCAACTTCACAGCGAAAGATATTGAACTCGAAAGCAATGCAATTTTGGATTTCAACTTCACAACGAATGACATCTAATTCAAAGCTCAACTTCACAGCGAATGAGCCATCCACGATTTCAACTTCACGATGAATGATATCGTGCCCAAGTGGATTGACTTAGTTTCACAGTAAATTAGTCATTTGCATCAATAGGGGTTATCTCCCAGCCTATTACAGTACAGCTCAAGGCGAGAAGGGCTATCTGTCAGTAAAAACCTTCGAGTTCGATTCCATTCAGCTCAAGGGCAGCCGAATTTATAGCATATCTCAAGGCGAGATGGGTTATATGTTAACAAACCTTTGAGTTTGATTACATTCAGCTCAAGGACATATCAAATTTACAGCATAGCTCAAGGTGAGAAGGGCTATCTGTCAACCAAAACATTCGGGTTTGATTACATTCAGCTCAAGGGAATATCAAATTTACAGCATAACTTAAGTCGAGAAAAGTTATCTGTCAACAAAAACTGTCAAGTTCGATTTCATTCAGCTCGATGACATATCAACCGCATGGTAGCAGCGAGGAACTACTTTTTCGGTTGAAGTTTAAACCGAGGTCTTTAAGTCAATAAGAAGATCTGGGGTAATATCTCAGCTTAGAACAACATAACTCAAGGCGAGAAGGGTTATCTGTCAACCAAAAACTTTTGAGTTCGACTTCATTCGAGGGCCTATAAACCACATGGTAGTATCGAGAAACTACTTTCCAGTCGAATTTTCAAACAAGGTCTTCAAACCGAGAAGAAGACCAACTTTGACTACGATTTGGCAACAAGAAGCCACATTCTAATTCAAATTCTGAGCTATGGTTTCAATTTCATGAAGAATGATATCACTTCAAGACTGACTCAACTTCGCGATGGAGGAGTCATTCGCAACTCAGTTTAACAGGGAGTTATTCCTAATTGCAATATCAGAGTTAAATTTCAACTCCACAAATGATGATATTAGACTCAGGGACCCCTTCATACAAAACGAAAATTTGTGTCTTTTTATTTTTGTCCTATTTTTCATTACACGAAAAAGAACAAAGAGGGGTAGTTGTCGACACTCATTTTCATCCGACCCCATTATATAATATGTTATCTATATTATATAATTTAAATGTTTTTTTTACTATTATATACATATATTATATTACATTAAACATATTATTATTATAATAATAATGTTTATTTATTTGGTTTTGTGTCATGCCTGAAGCCCATTACAAAAGTTGCCGACCCATTAAACCTGACAATGCTCCAACAATGGCAGCCCGGATCTGGAACCCGACCCGGAACCCAAGTCCACTGAAGCCCGACCCAAATTGACCTTACACTTGAAATATTTAGGGTTTTCAAACCCTAACCCTTGTTCCCTCAGCGCCGCATAGAGAGCCGCAATACCACTCGGCCAACCGCCCGTTTTTCTCGGCGACGAGCTTTCGTGGGATTCCATAGCTAACCGAAAAACAAATCAAAGCAAGTATTTCAGTCCAAGTAGGATAAAATACCGAAATAAAAATAGTAATCTTAGGACTATAAATACATGTAAAACCGTATATCAAAGCACGGAGAAATCATAAGAAAAATAGAGAGATGGAGAGAAACATGGAGCAAGGGAAAGAACAAGCAAAACAACATCAACCATACAAAGGAATAAAATAAAGAAGAAGAGAATGAGAGAAGCTTACCCTTGAAAAAGCCATTTGTCGTCGAAAACCACCAGATTTCGAAGGTAAAAATTCAGATCTGAGCCGATTGAAAGGCTTTTAGGACAAAAGGGGTTCGTAATAGGGTAGAGGGCGGCGAGAGCTTTGATTTAGTGCATTTTCCCAAACTTCGACCACCGTGTACGGTGGCCGACGGTGGTTGTCGGCACCAGAGTGCGACGGCCAACGGTGGTCGGCTATTCCTACGACGAGGAAATTCTAGAAAGAATATAGGGCCCTCAATCACTATAATTTTGTAACTTTACATTTTAGTCATTGAAGTTAAGTTTCAGTATTTTTAATTTGGATTTCAAATTTTATTATGTTTATTCACTATTTGGTATTTAGGATTAATTATTATTTAGTTCTCCATGTTTTTTGTTTATTTTATTTTAGTTTGTATATGATTTATGGGTTATTTTTATCTAGGGTACCTGTATTTATTTTAATTTAATTATTGGGGTTCTAATTTATTCATATTTATTTATTAGGTCCTTCTAGTTTCTGATTAATACCAGTTCAGTCCTTTAAATGTCAGGTTTTTCTATTTTAAGTCCCCTAACTCTCTATTTTTCTCTTGCAGCCTATTTTTAACATCAATTAGGTATGTAAATTTTAGTTCGTTCCTATTTGATCCTTTAATATTCTTTTTTATTTTTTTATTTTATTTTTTCTTTTGAAATAAAAAATTATTATTATTTTCCCCTAATTTTTTTCTTTCCTTTTTTTTTTCTCTTTGAAATTTAACATTTTTACTCTTTTTATTATTTACTTATTATTTTATTTATTTCCTTGAAAGTTTATTTTCCTATTGTTTCTTCATTTTTTTCCTTTAAACTTGATTTTATATCTTTTAAAAAAATATTTTTTTATTTTTTATTTCATATTTATTTATTTATTTTTATTTTTGCAATCTAACATTTTTTTAACCTCTTTTCAGAGAAATTCTAACCAATCAAAGGTAAATAATTTGAATCGATTTTTTTAAATTTTAATTTTCGCAATTAAGATAACCGACTAATTAATTGGTACAGAAAGAGTAGTACAAGGATGCTAATCCTTCCTTGACTGTAACCAACTCCCGAACTCGACATATTTCTGGTAAAACGTAGATCAGGTAAGATGGTGTCCGATCAACCTAAAATTTGTTTTTAAAATGATTGGTGGCGGCTCTAACATTTTTTCATGTTGAAGCTCAATTCCGAACCTACCCGAAAGACGGTTGCGAGAATAATATATTAAAAGTTTTTTACCTTACAATAAAAAAGGTGAAGCAAATATAGAACGAGTTAATGTGGTGACGCCTTACTGACGCATATTAGATACCTCAGAAATGCACGGATGATGATCTGCTTCTATCATTACGTGGCGTCAGCTTTGACGAAACCCTATTAAAAAAAATACTAGATTAATAAAATTTTGTGACAATGCCTAAAAGGTAATTATTTTATGACGGTAATTTTACGATAAAATCGCCTACCTCCTTTATTTACTTTTGCTAAAAAAATTTATTTTTTCATTTTTGACGAAACAAGTTCTTCTTAGTTCAAGCTGTGTCTAATCGGTGGTGCTTTAAAGATTTCAACTCAGAGCAAAAATCAAGGTTAGTTCTCAGTTCAAGCCAATCTAAATTTCTATTTGGGTTGTTTTTAGATTTGGGTTTTTGATTTTGGTACCAAAAATGTACGGATTAGTAGGTGAATAGTGGTAATTCTTGTTGTTTTTTGGGTTTTGAGAAAGTTTGATTATATGTATTATGTAGCTTATAATTACCATTTTTGGGTCACTTTTATCTGAGTTATTTGGGGTTGTTTTTGGTTGACTCAGTGAACGGAATTGAAGGAGTTTACTGTAAGAGGATAAACAGAAGAGATTTTTTTTGGATGATGATATGTTTGGCTGTGATTGATGGGCAGTAGAACGGTGAATAATGGTGTAGAAAATAATAGGAAAAATTCAGCAGCAATGCCGAGCAATGTTCCTGCAGTACCTACTTCGAATCCCAGGTTTTTCTTTCGATTTTATGCTGTTTATGAGTTTTTTTTATTGCTTTTTGTTCGAATTCATCGATCCGTTTCTACACTAGCTTTGTACTGGTTACATGTTTGTGTATTTGTTTGTTGAGACATCTTTGTTTTCTTGGTTATTGAACTTGTGATAAGGTAGAGTTGGTTGAGTGCAGGTATTTAACGAAGCGTTGAATTTTGAATTGTGATGGACGAAGGAGAATTCATGGCTTTTTATGCTTGTTATAAGTATAGTGTAACTTAGTATATTGTTTTGTTGTCTTTTATGTCCTCAATTGGTCTTCCGAGGATATAATGGTTTTATATCGACTGAACGGTTCATGTCGTGATGATGAGTACTTATTTTTTAGCAAGTGTTAAGGTGATATGGTCGTACTTGATAATTGCCCGTCTCCGGGTGCACTTCAAGTTTGTATTTTTAATATTTGCTAAGGAGAATTCATGGCTTTTTTTTTTGTTCGTTACAAGTATTGGATGCTGTTAATATTACTAAGGGGCTGAGTCAAGGAGTTAATATATTGTTTTGTCGTCTTTTATGTTATCAGTTTGTCATCTGCAGAACGAATGGTAATATATTATTATTATTATTGTGAGAATATTCAGTCGGCCTCGTCATAACTTTGAATGCAGATTTTTTTTCATGCTGTGTTACTGTGAGATATTCCTATGTAGCTTTTTCTTCTTGTCTAGGAATATAGACCCGATCTTATTGAATCATACCGCCTTACAATTGAACATGTGGTTTTAATGACATGGATTTTCAGTGGCACAGAGGCAAATGCCGTTCGTTCTTGAGAATTTTCGAATAGAGGATACTATTAATCTTACCAGAAGTATGTAATAACGGGTTTCCATTTACTATTTACGGGCATATGCAAGCATTTGATTTTATATTTCATGGAAAATGAATTGCTTGATGTATTACACTACTTGATTGTTCAGCAATTTTTTTCTTCGTTTCATATGAACTTTGCATATACTTTCAATTTATAATATTCTTGTATTTTAGATCCTTTATTTGATCAAATAAAGTGAAATAGCCAGGCATTAGCTGATGCTCAGTTTGGTGCTTTAAGCAAGGTGGGCATCTATTTCCTTTCGGAAATTGTGTTTTTGCTTCGAACTTTTGACATAAATTTAGTTACTGAGAGTTCTTTTGTGTGTGTGTGCGTGTGTAAGACACTTGCATCCGCAGACAGCAATCACTCTGCTGCTGTTGTGGGGTCCCAACCATTACTGCTTCAGATGGATATCCCACCAAATCTGGCGCATATATCAGTTGGTCGGGAGAACTGGGGGGACTCCAATATGGCTGATGGCTGCCCCAGAACTGATACTTCAACGGACGATAGAATCTGTTTACTAGCTAATACCGACTCTTTATTGACCATCCTTTTCTGCAGTTTGGAAGAGGTCTAACAAATGCTACTGTCGCCTTGTATAATTTTGATGAATTAATCATATTTCCTTCTCAATGACTATTTTGCAGACGTTGCGTAGGCTTGCTCAAAATCGTGAGGCTGCAAGAAAAAGCCGGTTAAGGAAAAAAGTATTTCCTTTATTGAACTTATTTAATCTTTTCAACTTATAATGTTTATATACTCAATATTTTATTATATTCTTGTGGCAATTATCCGTCGAGGTACACTTTCTTTGTGTCTTATTATAAATTAGGGAAAATTGCATGTTTAGTACCTAAACTATCATTTTTGGTCTATTTTAGTACTTAAACTTTCAATTTTTTTAAAATCATACCTAACTTTTAGTTTTTGTTTCGTTTTAGTACCTTGCCTTTAAAAACTTAACGTTATAATAAGAGGTTACTTATAAAATCCTCTACAAAATTGTGTTGAAATTACACCATTACGTCCCCATCTTACTCATATTCTCATACTAATTTCCCCTCTTGGACATATATAAATTGGAAAAACATCGTTATTACACGTCATGGTTTTGGTTGGAACCGTGAGGAAACTCTTGCACGTATTGGATGGACATGGATATGAACAACAGAATAAAGCTTAAACGCACTGATGGCTGAGGCACTTCATTTATTTACTCCAATAATTAAAGCCTGTATATAGAACTTATTAGTTTACATTCCTTTATTCTTAATCCCTTTTCTCTGCCTTTAAAATCTAGGCATATGTGCGGCGACTAGAGAGTAGTCGACTGAAACTGACGCAACTTGAGCAAGAGCTGCAGCGAGCTCGTCAGCAGGTCTGCTTTATGTTATCCGGTTAATATCGTGATGCATGTCATATGCATTCATCGATTTTCAGGGTGCTAGTGCTGTCTATTATGCCTCACTTTTCTTTGTTTTTGCTTCTTTCACTTCAGGGTATATTCATTTCAAGCTCCGGAGATCAATCTCAATCAATGAGTGGAAATGGTATGCAAGCTCTATTTTCATCATTGGAATTTGAAAAATGGTATTTGTGATTTGCTGTTAGGGGCTCAGAGTTCAAGTAATTATTGTTTGAGTTTGTTAAATACGTTCCGTACAGTAGTTGTTAGCCTTGTGGATATTATGTGTTAGCTATGTCAACTTTTGTTCCTGAAACACAAAGAGGTACTGTTTCATGTTAGCCAAGTTATGGTATTTTAATTCTAGGGGTAGAAAGCTCATCGGTTTTAAGTCGGCCAAGATGCTATAAATTGGAACATATAAGGCCTGTTTTGTGTGCATTTACAACCTTCAGTCTTTGTGTTGCAGTAGGTATAAGATTATCGAATAGATCTTAACTTTTTTCTAACATTTTTATTACCGTTCTTATAGTTAAAATAAGTTAAAATATACATTATAAATAAATAAAATGATATTTTAAAATCCATTTTTTATTTTACAATAAAACAATGTACATTAAATGAAATAAGATTATCAAAATTTTCAGAAAAAGGCATATGTTTGAGTTGATTTTAAATACAATTTTTGAACTATCAACGTTTCCTTTTAAAATTTCTCGCAAATTTTAAAATTTTATATTACTTTTAAACAAAATAAATTTTAGTTTTTATATTATTTTTCTCTTAAAGTTTTTGCATCTGACACACGTGTCATAGTTTAATATGACAAATTTGACATACCAGAATCGGAATACCTAAACTGGACGAAATATAAACCAAACAAAACAATGTCATATGATTTACTAGTTGGCATATCTACGGTTGATTATTGAGTTGAGCGGCTCGTGAGCAATTCGAACTTGACTCGGTCAAAATTTGACTCGGGATGACGACTAGAGAATTTAACGAGTTGATTCGAGCAAAGTCCAACTCTGCTTAATAAGTTTACCAGCAGCTCGTTAATTGTTTTATATAATTTTTTCAATAGTTATAATAAAAAATTATTTCATTAAAAAAGATTAATTTACTAATAGATAATAGTAAAGATGATATGTTACTAATCTATTAATTTTCTAATAAACAATAAAAAAATATTAATTAGTATTTTACTACACTAAATAATCAAACGATATTTATTATTTTAATGTATTTGTGGATTGTTACTTTGAAGTTTAGACTTTGAAATTATTTCATACACTATTTTGATAATATTTTTGGTTAACTTTATTAATTTATGTTTATATTAAGCTCTGTATAATATTAGTAGATTTTACCTATAATTAAGAAAATAAGGTAAAAATTTCGGTGAGCTTAACGAGTAATGAGTCCAGCTACAAGTTCTTTTAACGAGCACGAGTCGAGCAAAAATTTAACGAGCTTAACGAAAAAAGAGTCGAATCGAGCAATAAATTTTTTTATCGAGCACGAGTCGAGTACTGTCCAACTCACAATCGACTCGCTCGATAAGTACCCCTAGGCATATCCGCGTTTTTTGAAAACTTTTTAAGAAAACAAATGGGGGTTTTTCCCAGTACCCCATGCGAAAATTTAATTGGCCCAATAGATCAAAATAGAGTTTAATTTGTAATTTACGGTATTTGTTATAGTGAATCTAGAACTCATCATATCAAGGTGATTAATTCCATTGAAAATAATTTTTAATGGTCGTAGGTATGTGACCCCATGTGAGCCAAAATTTATTATTTTTATAGGAACTCGTCACCTCGAAGTTACAAGTCCTGTTATAAATTAATTTTATATTTACCTTTACTAAATAATTTGAAAATTTTAAAAATAAAAAACCTACTAAACTCGTCACTTCAAGGTGACGAGTTTGCTTTGAATTTTTAAAAATGTACTCGTTTTGCAACGGACAACTTGTGAAAAAAATAAACATTAAAACTTATCACATCAAGATGACGAGTTTCATCGGATTTAATTTAAAAAACATATGAAACAAAAATATTAAAAATAATATTAAAAAACTTAAATTAATAAGTTTATTATAAACTAATAAAATGGAGAATTTATTTATATTTTCTTATTTCTTGACAATGTCGAAGAGTCGTCGAATGATAATGTCACAGGGCTCGTCGAGTACGTCGGGATCGTTCGCCTTGATCGTGTTCATTTACATCTTCGTTTGCATCTTGAAGAGGAGGTGTATTGAATATTGCTCCACTTTGAGATGCACATTCGAAGTACGACGAAGAGCTTATGGTATCTGATGTCATAATTGTCTTCATTGACTCGACTTGGTTATGTTGTTGACCATATATAATATGATCACATTTACCCTCACTCGTATATTCGATTGAAGATGCTTGAGTGCTTTGTATTTTATCCCATGAACCTCCAACCCAATTCGACTATGTTTCCGCTGACGCATGATATGGAGATAAAAATCAAAACTAGTCTGAGATGCAAAGTAATTGACATAAGCAGAAGAAGAAGACAAAGATGATAATGATTTCCTCTTGGTCTGTTTGAATTTGTCTTCCTAGTTCTCATTTTTCCCTCTCTTGTGATGTCATTAATTATGGTTTCTCGTTTGCTTCATAATTTCAGGGGTAGGAAGAAATGTCGAAATCAAGGTCAACAGGTGTAATCTCGCAAGGTATATGGATTGAGAAATGACGTTGATTCCATTGCTCAATGTAATCGGTATGTTTCCTCTATCAATTGTGGCTATGCTTCCCACACTATCAATTCTATAGAGCGCGTCCATATTAACAATATGCGTAGGAATTGGATGATGAAACACAAACTGTCGCAACACTCTATCTGTTGCGTGAATCTCAACAATTGCAAAGTTTATCAAAAGTGTTACGGCACACCAAAACTTTGACCCTTCAAAAAGATGCGATGACAGTACCCGGTGGATCTCATCGTCATAATACGGGATCTAAGAAAATTGTAAACATTGATAATAAAAGTTAGTATAAATAAAGTGAAAATTTTAATTAAATTTAGTAACTTAAAAAATAATATTTATTACATGTCGACCAACAATAACGATTCTCATTCGTATAATTTTTTTAGTTGAACTTGATAACTTTGTCTTGATAATTTTATGTCATCATTTAAATAATATAAAAATTAAAAAAATCATAACAAAACATTTTTAAAATTAACCAAAAAATAGTTATAAAAATTACCTTGCAGCGAGAGGAAACTCAACTAGAGCTACTTTAATTGGTGTAAAAAATAGGAATTGATATCATACCCAAGATTGTAGCATGATTATAAAACCCGCTACATCCGCTTTTTGACCTCGTTCGACGACTGTAGCCTTGCAAAATTCTCAATATAAAAAAGCTAAAATTTTTGAACCCCAACTAATGTTGATATAATACCCCAAATTTTGGTTAGTGACCAAACTATAATTTTAAAAGTTTAGTGGCTAAGGTATAAACTTTGAAAAGTTTAGGGACTAAAAATATAATTTTTAAAAAGTTATGTATTTTGGCTTGTAAATGAATAGTCTACTCTGAAATTTACATTTTCGTGGGAATCATAATTTTGATTCGGGATTTGTACAAAAAGCTTTAAAATAGTAAAGTTTGATAAAAATTCGGATAATCGAATCAAATTGAAAGATTACAAAAATTTGAAGAATAATAGTAAAAGGTTATAAATAATATATTTATATTTTTTAATTAGTAGAATTTGATGAGGAACTATACAATTAAGTGGATTTTTCCATGTTAAAGTGATAGTGAATTTTAGTGACTAAATTGAAAATTTGAAAAAATTAAAAGGGGTAAAGATGGAAAGTGAATTATATTTGTTCATATTTGAATTTTTCATTATTAAAATAAAAGATATTATGGTGAAAATGGTAATTATCATGATTTTTAAAGGATAAAGTTGTAATTATGTATTAAAGGAATTTTATAATCATTTAATTAATAAATTGACAAGTGTACATGTACATGAGACATTTCTCATGAATTATCTAGAGAAGTTTTCTTCATATTCTCTATATAGATTGTGAGTTATGGGAAAGGAAAATAAGGTATGTTTTTCTTTCCTTTTGTTCATTTTAGTCATTTTTCTTTGATTTTTCATTAAGTCATAAAATAGAAAATTTATCTAAATCAAATTCTCTTTTATTTGATATGAATATTTCATGATTTCCATACTTGAATTAATGATTTGGTTATTATAATGGATGATAAATAAGTTAGATTTTGATGAATTATGTATAGTTTTTTGTATTATTGATATTATAGAATTGTTTATGAGCTTAAATGGTGATCAAAACCACTTAGAACTACTTATATAGAATGCGACCATGAATAAATTTTATTAGAAATCGTTGAATTTGATTTGTTGATGTCATGGAAGTAATTTGAATTGCTTGGAAATGAAGTTGAGAAATTGAAATCATGCTTGAATCAAGTTGGAATTAATGTGTTCCTAACTTATATGTATTCGGCCTAGGGGATAAAAATAGAGAAAAACTATGGAAAAAAATTACTAGGTTTAGAATTGATCTTAGAATAATTCTACATGCTTTAAATGTGATTTGACCCACTTTGAAAATTGTAAAAGTATAGGTACCTATTCAAAAAATTTGAAAAATATAGGTATTAATGTGAAATTGTTTAATAGTTAACGTGTTGTGTTGAAATTGAATATTAGAATGATAAATTTGATGTTAGAATGTTAACTTAGTTCTAAATTGGAAATTATAAAAGCATAGGACTAATTCGTATATTTTGAGAAATAGGAGGATTAAAGTGTAAATGTTTATTAGTTGAAGTACTTGTTGTAATTTTGATCTTAGATTATTGAATTCGATGTTAAAATGTGAAATTGGATTAATTTGGAAATTTTATAAATTTTAGAGACTAAATCATAAATTATGGAAAAGTATAAACTCAAATGAAAATTTTGTAATTATTGAGGTATTAATATTTAATTAAATTCTGGAAATTTTGTTTATGTTAGTTAAAGCTTAAGTTGAAGTTGATATGAAAGAATTGTTAAGATTGAGGACTAAATCAAAATTTTGTATAAGTTGTGGGTTTGAAACGAAAATTGGGTACAAGTTAATGAGTAGAAATTGAACATGTTATTGGAATATTTGAATTTGTTTTATGATAATTGAATTTAGAATTAAATAGTAAAAATGACTGTATTAATTAAAATAGAAAGGTTGAGATGAAATTCTAAAAGAGTTTACCTTATAGTTAAAATTATGGTATTATGAATTTGGAATTAAATTTAGAAG